TTGCTGAGCAGGAACGGCTAAAAGTAGCAGGATCTGACTGATGTGATGTGTATTGTTTTCGGAAATATGACTCATGATATACAGTCTATTGTTTAGTGTATGATTCAATTCTTTTAGACGGTCTTGTGTTAAAAGAAGCATACAAATAAACAAGCAATATATCGTAACATCAAACTGCAATACTTGTAGAATGGCAACGCATACTGAAAATTCAAATCACGCAGGGAGCGAGCGGTTTTGACTCCCCAGTGAAAACAGGCGGTCACAAAATAGACTGCGGGTCCCGGGATTTAGCAACAAATAAAGTTCAAAACATGATTGAAGTTTACAATCAACAGCAAGCAAAGCAGGTCTGGCATTTAGAGACATTTCTCAGTTTTTACTGACAGTAAAATTACATATTTTTAACTGTGGGACATTAGAAAACACAGAAAATCTCTATTGTGCAGGCTAGAGTGGACACACACATAGAGGAAGCAAGAGGTAATGGCTAGAAATACGTGCACATGAGTGGGCGGCAGCAGGATTAAGTAAACAGTCCCGCACTAGGTCCCGCCCTAGTGCCAGCCCAACAATATAATGCATCATTTTCATTTAATGCCATCGATGCAAATGCGTCTTTGCAGTCAGGCTGTGTTTCTATTCTTCTGTCAACTGTCAACCAATGCGCAGTCGTTATACAACAACCCCTAGATTCAAGACACACAACGCACATTCTTCTTGAGGCCTATTCAAGACCCCCTCATCCGCTTCAAAGTCTTGGTTGTGTACTTTGGTTTTACATGAGGGTTTTTACTTTCTCGCCGATTGTTATCGCTGTTCAAAGCCCTGCGCCATGAGCTGCTGCTGACAGGAGCATCCAGACTCTCTTCTTCATCTGGGACACGAACCACAAGCATCACACATACACAAAGAGCAATTATCACAGGAAGCAAATTCTCAGCACCTGAGAGCACCTCCGACACAAATAGAGGCATGAAAGAAAGGGCAAATGGTATGCAAAAACAAATCTTGGGTGAGCACAGCATTTGGCAAGGTAAATAAGCTCCAGACAGGCATTCAGCACAAACGTTTAGAAGCATTATACGCAACCGTGCCTTTCAGATCAATCAGTGAACAATTATAGCACTAAGTGATTGAGTGATTCCAATTCTGACAAGAACTATATCTCAACCTCAGTCTTCAGTCAGGTCTTGCAGAACAGCAGTGAAAAGCTCCACATTTCTTCTAAAATGCTCCTTTTTAAATCATCAGTGAATGCTCATTGTTTGTACGCAGCATGACAGTAGCTTGGCTACTTCACTTGAGTGACTATTTTCAACACTTTAGCACCACTTCATTACTTCAACCACGGCTCTGCTGGCGGAGTCAGGGCATTCATTTCCCACCGCTCTGCATGTGCCCACAGCCCTACACGCCTCCACGCCAGCTGTTTGTCTGTGCCACCAGACAAGTCAGCATATCCAGGAAAAGTCATACGAGATGTCTAGAAGTGTCTCTTTAGTGTTACTTCCCAGCAGCACAGGGATTATACTGTACTATATACAGAAGAGTATATGTCTGTGCTGTGGTGGGAATTAAAAAAAAATGTGCGCATTATATCAGCGATATAAAAGGACTATACAAGGTGTGATGATTCCTAACTATAAGTACTTGTACCCCAGGAGTGCAATTATAGTTGCTGGGTGCTTTGAAAGATTGGGGATGTTTTAATTACTGCATATTATTCTAATAGCCAGTAAACTACCAGCTTCATTACTCCGACTGCACAGAATACAACTTCCTCCGTCCTCAGTCAATTCTAAAACACATTTTTTTTATTGCAAGAGAGCAAAAAACTGGAACTAAATGGATAAATGAAATGGAGAAATAGTTGAAAACTCCAACTTACTGCCACCCTCCGGCGTAGGAGAGCAAGTTTAAGAGAGCAAGAGAGCAAGTTTCCATCCATAGGTCCAGGACCACAATGTCTCCACGTTTGAAATCAGTTCAAATGAACACATTTGGAACAAGATGAGTGGTGCTGATGAGGGGATACTTGAGCTCATTTGACAGGGCTGATGGAGTACATCTCACAGAAGAACGTTGGCAATGGAAAGGCACGTCAAAAGAGGATAACAGAGCAGATTAATCTCACAGTCAGTTTATTTTAAACAGCCAGTTGATGCCATATTAACTGTTTTTTGGGAAGCAAGTCATGTTTCCTTCATGATCAACTTCATGACAAACTCACCGACATCTACATAGCTTGGAACAACATATCAAATCTGTGAAATTAACACTGAAGGGTATGGATTTATATGGTTAAATACAGGCCAAGTGCAGAGGGACTGCTGTGTGAAGACAGGGTCAGACAGGGGGGTGGAGGGGGGGATCAGTGCAGGTCACAGGTCACTGACCACATTCCACAGGGCAGAAATTAATTCCTCAGGCTGCAAAGCACTATCACAATTTAACAATTTATACAAATGTAACTAACCAACTAACCACAGAGACACACCAGCAGAGGTTAAACGGGAGAAAAGGTCCATTATTATTATTATTTATTATTATTTGCATTACATCAGTACAGGCTACTCATGATCCCTGTGCCTGTTGTCATGGAGTGTCAGCATGACTGAACTTGGACTTTTCAGAGTTGCCCCTGGCAGTCATTACAGTGAATGGTTTACCTCATTCACTCACAGGAGCAGTTTGTTTGAATGCCTAATGTCAGAGCAGGTATTAGTCTCACAATCTACCTGGATTGATGGCTGTGTGCAAGCTGTTTCTTATGTAACAACCACTTGCTATAATCTAGTTAACCATGTAGAAAACATGCTTATTATTGCTGCAGATTGTCTGTATAGAGGACTGAGCAGACTTCATGTTAGTTAGTTAAGTGGAATCAAAGGTCGACCATTCTTATCTGAATCCAAGTCAAGTAAAGATAGTCACCCTATAAAGCATACATATATGTGCAGTGGAAACACTCCATAGTGCCAGCTCTTGTTCTGACACCCACTCTTGTCTGCACGCATTTAATTGCCACTTCTTACCTTTTTCAGGCTCTCTTTCTGCGTCTTCTCTTCCTCCTCATGTTGGTAAACGGGCATTTGCAGAAAGTCTTCTTCACAGCAGATGAAGCTCACCGTGCATCCCATCCGAGCGAAGCCAGAGCGCACACTTCCAAATCAAACCCATCCAAAGCGCCACCGCTCGGCTCCCTTTTCCTTCACGCCTCCGCTGCGGCGGTGCGCTCACTGGGACTGAATTCCGCTCACACAGGCGACAAATGTGCGCAGTCCGGCATCACTGCGCTGTCAGCCGAGCGTTACAAATGAGCCTTTAAAAGAAGTTTTCAGTGAGTTTCCCGCCCTTGTTTCCAAGCCACACAGAGGTGAGGTGACTTCCCACTGCAGACACACTGAGGAGGACAAACAGGTAGCCTGCAGGCTGCAGTATAGAAAGTGTAGCTCTTTCTCTCTCCCCCTCCGTCCCTCTCTCTCTCTCTCTCACACACACACACACACAAACACACACACACCTTTATGTTGGTGTTTTCACGTGGTTTTGTGATTGGTGGTTCAAGCTGTCACTCAGATCTGGAAGGCGACTGATTGATTAATAGCTTCCACCTGTGCAAACATTTTAACCTCCCAGCTAGAACAGAATCTGCCCACATGCTCGGATTTTTTATTTATTTGGTCCCTGGACAGTTTAAAAAGAAAGGAACTATTTTATCTCCCGTGTTTTCGCATCAGTTGGTGTCCACCACATGGGGCCTGAGAGTCCACATGTGGCCCCTGGGCTCGTAAATGACCCCCAGTCCCAGCTGATTCACCAAATCACCGTGCTGGGATCAGTGGTTGCACTGTGCAGGAATCCCAGGGAGTCAAGTTCAAGGGCTTTTTCTTTATATGCAGTTATGCTGCCCCCTGCTGGCTGATTGGATGAATAGTAGTCAAATGCAATCAATTTTCTAAAGGAACACTTTTTATATTTAAATAAAGTTTTCTTTTTAACCTTTTTGTGTTGGTATTGCATGTTGTTAGCAGGTGGGATTTGAGAGAGAGAGAGAGCCCCTTTTCCTACATGTTAACACATATAAAGTCACTTTTATATAATCCACATAACTATCATTATTCAAAATCAGCTTTATTGGCTAATTACATGTTTGCATACGAAGAATTTGATGTTACACATAGTTCCTCTAAAAGTAGACATACAACGAACAAAGTGGACAACACTGAACAAAGATGGGTAAAAATAAACATAAATCTATCATACAAACAATAGATCTTTTATTATATATTATAAAAATAGGTGAATATATAAATATATACAAAAAGCAACAAACACAAACTGTCTATAATAAGTGTTTCTGTAAATTGAAAAAAAATAAAATAATAATAATCCAAAGGAATAAATGTTGAATGAATATGCATAAAGTGGGTGAAGAAATAAATGGAAAACAGAAAAAGCCAAGACACAGGCTACCATCTTGGTAAAAATTACTATTATTATTATTATTATTATAAATTATAATATTATTATTAAATCTCTCTTGCAACATTGCCTAGTCTTAAATGTATTCAGGACTAATACAGATAGAAATAAAGAGGAAGCTGTTGCCATATAACATATATAGAAGGACCAGAATGGATCAGAGCCATTATAGTAATTAAGAACTATCAGTTATGTTATTACGTGTTTTAGTGTTGTGTATCCCTCCTTCACGTAGGTCGTTGTATTCATGACATTGGCATGTTTGCCTACAAGAGAGTGTTATCAGTCACCTTTAAAATGTCAGCCTCCACCTCATTGACTTTCAGAGTACAGAACGTATTATGTAGAACACACAAAAGAGAGGCCAGACGTGGCAGTGGATTCAGTTTCTAATAAACATTCCCCACAAGTCCTATCTTTAGCTGTTCCTCTCTTATTTAACTTGTTATCACTGGACAAAATCCATTCATGTGTTCATATACAGAGCAATAATGGACGTTGCTCTTCAGATGTATCATATGACTGATTTATTTCAGTGCAGCAATGTAAGTTTCAGCAATGAATACAAGATACAAGGCTTTATTGTGCTATACAATGTGAAAGTTAACCATCTGATATACTGAATTTGCTATGAAAGAAATGAAAACGAGGCTGGAGTTGATCCACTTTCAGCTCACACACACACACACAATGAAAACACAATTCAGATGCTTTAAATAGACTCTTGCCTCCATTTTTAAAGGTGCTGTGAATAATTATCACACCACAAAATGCAGTGCCAACTTTAAGTGAGCCAGGTACAAGTAAGAAACACCAAAATACTGTTTACACAGATCCATATCACCACATTATTACTGTTTTCACATTTCTTATCCCATTCTTAGAAAAGCATGATGTTTATTCATAGAAATATATACAAACAGTTAGAAAGTTTTTTATTCACATGGAACATTTGTATTCGATCCGATCTGCAAAGCAAATCAAGCTGCACTGTTCCTTCCTCTGTCCACAAAGTATAGGCTCAGTGGTTTGTCTGGTATCAGAACAGTGCGGCAGATGCATTTCAGCTCTTCCATTGTCGGGTCTGGTTTGATTTCAAACTGCCTGATTAGCTGCAGGAAAAAGAAAAAGGTGTTACCGAAGTCACTTTATTACTCAACCTGGCTGAATGAGGCCATGGCCTCCAAGTTTTTGCATTAATTACACAGAAACTCAGATGGATCATTTTTGACTCATTGCTTCTTTTAGCATTGTGAAGCTAATTAGGGTGCTGCTCAGATCCAGGACAGCAAACTGTTTGCACAATTAAAAGGCTGCAAATCATTAATTTCCCCCCTACATACTGGAACATCTTGCAGCTAGATATTTCTCACAGCAGTTTGTGCTTGTGGAGTTAAAGTTGTCAGGCAGCCACAAACACAATATATAATGCTCTGTGTCTGCAACTGTTTGATATTTGCAATAACAAATTTGTGTTGTGGTTATAAATCATCATTTTCTGCTCATTTTCCGATGCCCACATGTGGCCAAAAAACTGTTAATGCAGCTTTAAAAGTACTCTAATAGTGAAATCACCTGGTGTAGGATCTGCACACACAGTAGCCATGTTTTCATCCAAATATAATTACACTCAGCATACTCTTCGTCTTCAATTCCTTGGATGCTGTCACAGCAAACTTGTGGACATTTGTGTGTGTGTATTTGATGGGGGGGCATATTTATCTATAAAGTTGGCGGGAGGGGGGCAAATTGTTTTAAATTGTTTTAATGATGTGGGAATGTGTGTATTCTTAACTTTGTAATTGAAATTGTGTACAACTGTGAATTGAACATCTGTGCCTGATTTCAAAGCAGTGTTTCACTGTTGTTTGATGGCATCAAGCTTTACGTCACATCATGTGTACTCAATAGAAGCTACAAGGAGCTTTCCCACTTGTCACTTACCCGAAACAGAACCAAATACATCTCAAGCTCAGCAATCCGGCGACCGACACAGCCTCTCACTCCAAAGCCAAACGAAAGAGTGCCAAAAGCATTTGGCCTCTCACGGCCATCCCGGAGCCACCTCTCCGGCTTAAACGTGAACGGCTCTGGGAATGTGTCCTCATCATGACTGATGGCATATTGAGAAAACCTAAAAGAGGTCTGGAGAAACAGCAGTCAAGAGATAAAATACTGAAACTCTGATCAAATGAAAGAAAGCCTAAGCTCATGTATGTGCTCAAATTTGTAGTAGTAATACAAGTTATAGTTCGAGAAGTAAATACTTTAAACTTCTTCTACTAAACACAGGTTTCTCTTTGCAATATAATGAAGTTATAATACAATTATAAACAAAAAAAAGTATAAAACGTTTAATAATGGTTAAAAAAGCAGACCCACATTCTTTGAAAATTGATATCCACCAATTGTAACATCCTTGTCTGCAATCACTCTGGCGTTCAGAGGAACCACAGGGTACATCCTGCAAAACAAGAACGAATCATTTCATTTTGTGTGATTTGAGCTGGTTGTTGTTGCTGACTGGTGCAAGAGAAGCTATAAGAATACAAACAGACAATGTGTAAAATATATTATGATACAGAGAGTGGACCCTTAAATCTAGATCACCTTCTCGGTATCACGTTTGTACCTCATTGATTCCTTGACAACCGCCCTTAAATACGGCATCTGCGTGACCTCCGCAGCAGTTGGTATCCGGTCTGCTGGTACCAATGTGGACAGCTCTTTATAAAGTATGTCCTGATTTTGAGGGTGCATGGAGAGCAGGTGCAAAGTCCATGTGAGGGTATTGGAGGTCTTGACAAAAAGAAAAAGGTCATTAAGTAAACAGGCACAGAGATACACACCACTACAAATATTGAGTCTGCAGGCGATCATGAAAAAATAATTCTGTAGAGATTGGTGCAGAGAATCACATTTACCGTATCCACTCCAGCTAATAGAAGCTCAGCGATGCTGCCATACACATCTTTAGTGCTCATCTGAGTGTTTGAGAGGAGGTATGTTAGGTATTCGCCCTCCACATCCTGGTTGTTGTCCAAACGCTGCTGAATGACCTCCATCTTCTGGTCAATCAACGTTTTAGCTGAAATAAATGCAGTAACGGAAGTGAAGATTACGCTCATCATCAAATAAAACAACAATTTATACTTCATTTTAAAGTTAAAATATAAGGTAATTAGTTGGATACTTTTCTTGTCAATGATTGACACCACTCTCATGTCTGAACACTAAAACTGAAGCTACAACCAAAGACTGGAAACAGCTCAGAAAGGTGACAAAGTTCACTACAGATTGTTGAAGTTGTAATCTTAGCACTAATGCTAGCAGCAGATCCATAAGAAAGATAGTAAAATCACTACAATGCACCTCAGCTGGGACGCAGCTTCTCTCCCTCACAACTCACCAAGGTTGAAAATACCATCCCAGCCTGCAATGTAGCGCCCCCAGTAGGGCAGTAGACTGCGGCTCCACTTGGGCGTCAACATCACAATCATGTCGTTGGAGAACATCTTGGCTATGGCGTTGATGAAGTCCTGCGTGCCTGCAGGGATTTCCTTTTCCAGACACCCAAGCCTTTTCTCAAACAGTATGGAGGCAATAGCTGAGAGGTGAAGGGTAAGATTTAAGATAAGAAAAATAAATGATTGAGAACTTATCTGCAAAATTATTATCCCATAGTTTTAGTTAAAAGAAAGTTGAAAAGTTACAGAAAAGAATGCAGAGATCTGTTAGATTATGAGAAATTATGCACAGTGCAGTAGATTTTGCACTTAGCGCTACCTGAGTGTGCAGCTTTAACTTTTCAACGTACCCTCTAGTGCAAAACAATAGAGCTCATTGGCTATATTGGTCACCAGATCTCCTGTAGGGCTGCACTGACGCAGGTAGCACACCTTCTTCATGAAGTCTGTAACAGTGTCATTGAGAATGTCACCATACTGTGCAGAGTCCTTCGGATGCAACATGCGCTTGTTCAGCACCACCCTTAGGTCGTACCACCTCTCTCCATTCCTGGGAACAGAAATGGACTCGCAATGAGAAACAAAAACAAAGCTGACACATCTTTTTTCATGCTTTTCAAAAGGTTTCCAAATGTGAGCTTTTTTATTTGTCGCTGTGTTTGTGACATTAATGCCAAAATTGATGTTTAGGGACAATAAAAAAGTAGACACCAGAAGTTAGTTGTATCCACTGTAGGATTAACTAAGACCTTACATTGGGAATATCGTCCTTAGCATGTAGGATTTAGTGGCATCTTGGGGTGAAGTTGCAGATTTGCAACTAACTGAACATCGTTTGCGTCAGGCCTCATCTACAGCCAGTGTTTGCTTTGTCCTTTCTGAGCTATTGTAGAAGCATGGTGGTTCATCATGGCAGACTACATGGAAGGCAACCTGTGGGTCTGTATAAAAATGGCTCATTCTTAAGTAACAAAAAGTGTTTTTCTATTTTGGTTTCTTGAACCTTGTCTGCCTTATGGACTTTTGTGCCGACTGCCTGTCTGATTTGTTTGTTTGTTTGGGCTGCATTTTCTGGTTTCTGGTTAAGACTTTGCGTGCCTGACTAATCCATAAGCCTTTTTGTACTGAGACTCCTCCTAGTCTGCATTTGGGGACAACCGATGGTTGTTTTCATTAATTTGATTATTTACACCTTTTGCTTTTCCCACTGTGACATGTCAAAATGTCTTGCATGAAAAATGTCTACTTTTACTTATTATAAGTTTATGAGTTCTGTACAAGAATGAAAGGTAGCACATGGCTATGCAACTGTCTGCTGGCTGTAGCTTCATATTTATCATTCAGACATGACAGCGGTATCAATCTTTTCCTCTAAGAAAGCCAACAAGTGTTATTTCCCAATGAAAATTACATTACAATTTCTGCCAATAGATCCTCCAAAATGTTACACACAGGACTAAAGGGATATTAGCTATAATGGGCTATATAGAAGCTGTAGGTGTCTATAAAATAACTTCTCATGATCTCAATCCTTTAATTGAGAGTATTTTGTCACACAACTTTGAAATGAACTTTGTTGCTTTTAAGTACACATCTTTGGAATAATTTCTTTTGACTTATCAGCTGTCATATTCACTGTTTCAACCCAACTGATTTATCAGTCAGGCTCATTCTTTGCAAAACTGAGTTTACTTCAGATACATATTTTTAATTAAAATGTGTTAAATGCATTTCCCAGTAAAGCAAAGACTGTTGAGGATTTAAACATTAACCTTCCATCCTAACAGCCCAGCTCACAATCAATCCATCCCCCTCACATGACATGACTTAGCCCTGGAAATAAAGTATTACAAGTGGGACAGTGGTCACAGGGAAATGGGAATGAATATTCACATCATACAGTCTTCTTACTCTGTGAAAGGCCCATAACCAAATCCTCTTAAGTTGCGGTACTCTTGCCACAGGGACATGTCTCCTCGGGAAGGGAACTTTTCATCATTCCTCATGACTTCCTCCAGCAGCTTTGGAGTGTTTATGCACACTGACTTCATTGAATCTACGTATATGGGCCCATATTTCTGTTTCTCATAGATCTGATGGTGGGAAAAGTGAATGGAAAACAGAGTTAACAGAGAAACCTGTGTGTAAGCATCATAGTTTCATAACGCATGAGATAAGAAGAATAAATACAACAACTTTAACTGCTCCTCCATAGCAGCCTGTAACATGTGAGACAACAACGTTGTCAAATATACTGTGTTGTGCAATACAGAAATATATACATTCCACATTTATAAAGCAAGTGACAGCGTAACTGAAGGCTGTTCACCTCACAGAAAGTGATCCTACAGAGAGGGCAAACTATCCTCTCCTCTATGCGAGTCAGCTGAGACTAACTGTTGTTTGCAGCGGTTGATAAGGCAACCAGCCTGACATTTTCTATTATGCATTGTCTCTTAGCCACTCCTCACACATCCTACTCCCTCCAACAAAGGATCAAAATTGTCAGCAGGTCAACTCCGCAACCACAGCAAAGTTATGAGGGATTTCTGTATCTTATAGAAAGCATGCAACTGATTAAAACAACCATGCATCAATGTGGCTTTGACCTCCTGACGGTCACCCAGAGACAACGGCATACCTGAAGCTCATGTATACGTTTGTAGTAACCCTGAAAAAACAGTCTGTACATCAGCTCCAAGAAGCCAGCACGTGGGAGGTCCTCTACTGTCCGAAGCTTGTCCTGGAAGGTAGAGAGGGGCCCCGGGGCGGAGGAGGCACTTTCCACCCCCCTGGAGCAGACCCGGACCACAGACACAGGGCACGGCAGCAGCCAGCTCCCATTCCTCCAAGCCACAGTCCGGGACAGCCATGCAGCCATGACGAGGGCAGACTAGCAAATACAGAGGAGTCCTGTTGCATCTGAGAGACCAGCAGCAACAGGGAGGAGCCATGGTCATTAACTATTCCAGCACAAGGGTCAACCAGGATCCAAGGGCCATTCCAACCTTACATATGTGTGGTACATAATAACATTTCTGAAACTCCACTTTTACTGCGCTCGCAAGTAGGAAACAATGTAATTCTGAGTAATAGTCCACTACTAAAATGTATGGTAAAAGTATTCTTGTGATTGTACTTAAATTTAAAAAAGGATACCATCAAAAGAAACTACTAAATAACAAGTTAGTGTTCCTGAAAACCAGACATTGTAGAGAATATAAAGAAATGTGATCCAAGATGACATATACATTTGATCAAATATCAGATATTATAATCTTGAGAATAATCTGAAACAAAAGATTCAGTTACACAATAAAGTGCTCAGAAGATTGTCACTTGTCGGGTCTCAAACTCTCAGAAAAGCCATATCATTGCACAAAGCATGTTAAAACACATTTGTTTTCTTTGGCTTTCTCTTGATTATATAACTTTTGTTTTGTTCTGAGTATGTACTTCTTGGAAAGCACTTAGTAGCTCTTGGAAGCATTGTTTTTTGGCCTGTGTTTTTTGGTGGGGTGGGAGAAAAGAGAGTTGAAACTTTTAAGTGAAATACTGAAACAGTTCAGTTTCTGATGAAGCACTGAATGAAGTTGAAATGTTGAAGAGGAAGAGACACAAGCAGTGGAAGCACTAAATGAAAGTTAACTGAGCTGTCAAGTGTGATAGATACAAGCAGTTAAATGTCAGTTGGTGTGCCAGATGTAAGATAACGTGAGATGGTGATTATGTTGCTGTTGTCACACGTTAGTCTGTGTATTAATATAAACGTAATACTAAATTAAATTAATAAACTTACAGTAGAACCTTGATTCTGATTCTGAATCATGGTCTGCTGGCTGCAGGTTGCACATGAGAAAAGATCTGCGTCGATGTATGTTTTGCATTATGTGTTTTCAAAACCCTTTTGCTTCAGTCCCTTGCTCAAGGGCACTCTGTGATAGTCCAGTATGGTGAGTATGTGCCTTTTACAAGATAGAATGCACTGAACAGAAAAGTATTTATTTTATTGATCAATGAAAATGATTTACTAATGTTTGTCATGTTTCTCTTTATTCAGTGATCAGTCTCCAGTCCTGTCATTCTTGTATTTGGGCAACATTGTCTATAGATCCTGCAGGGTCCATTTTGTGCAGCAGAAAGTGTCCTTGCACCTGAGCAGCACTGATTTCAGAGTGGGCGGCTAACACACGGTCTGCAAACCGCTCTCCTTCAGAGGCAGGCTCGTCTGGGTAGAACCGCCGGAACATCTGCGTAAGCTGCCAGTGAGTGCAGTGACCAATGTAGTGCTTCACGTCAACACGGCCGGGTCGGATCAGTGCAGCGTCTAACCTGCGTGCAGAGATTACATGCAAGACGGACAGTTAATGTCTCAGAAAATACGAAATGTGTGTAAAACTTACCAGTGAAATGTCAAAGAACACATTTGAGTAGCTTTGAGAAAAAGTAATGTCCATTTTAAAATGTATTAATGTAACTGAGTAATTGGAGTTTTAATTATAGTTTATTACTCTAAATTAGTTAAATATTTTAAACCTGCATTACGTGATTTTTGCATGACAAGCTGAGAACACAACATTGACATACTATCACTATACATACTTGTCATGGCAAATGTATTAGCAAACTGTTACCTGTTTCCACATCCAGCAGACACAGAGCAACATTAACATTCATGAAAGCCAATATTTAGCCTCTTTTTAAACTCTATTTCGGTCTCCACCAACTCCTGAGAGCAGAATTTGTCTCTTAAGCTGCAAAACTTTGTCCGTCTGCCATTTGGTGCTGGGCAGGTTTTCCTGTTCATTGAAATCAGCGGCTATGGCTGGAAACAGGGTTCGTGAGAGTGGTGTTTGTGGGCTGGAAAACCAAAAGTAAGTACTTAACCAAATATTTTCTATTTGGTTTCAGTTTTTTTATATAATTTACAAAGGTGGACATTGGTAAAACTGACCAAGTCCTGACTTTTCTTAAACATCAGAGTCATTAAGATTAGCAAAATCCCGGGTTATTCCCTCTGCTATCTGATCTGATTTTTGCTCTGTTGTACATTTATTATGGCTGAGGTTTTCCTTTTTTTACTTGTGCAATAAAAAATAAAACAATTCTCTTCCAACGGTACCTGTCAATGAAGTTGGTCGTCATAAAAACTATTCTGGCCTCGGATGAAGCCACTCCGTCCAGAGAATTCAGCAGGCCACTAAAAGTCAGTCTCCCCATTCCCTGGTAGGCCAGAGGGTCTGAGAGGCAAAGACAAGAGGGATTTAAAAGTCACCCTCAAAACAGAATCAAACACGAAGACAGAGTCAGTAGTTCTACCTCTCATAAACGAAAATCTCAGGAGCTAATGTGAATAGATGTCCCTTACTCTCTGTGGGAAGCAGGTCTCGGCTGACAAAGGCTGCATCTACATCCTCCAACAGTATGATGCTTTGCTGCGGTGCCACGCTCAGGAGGTGGTTCAGACGGTCATCTGAAAGGGTGCGGTCGCTCAGACTCATCAGACAGATGCTGTAGCCCAGCTCGCCCGCCAGTGCCGTGCTGAAATTTAATAATGATTTACAAAGACGTAGATGAAATGACATGCAGTCTGTCTTTTAATCACATGGGTAAAGCCGAAGGGTAAGAAATCCAAAGCACACTCACATAAAGCTGCTTTTTCCACACCCTGGAGGACCATACAGCAGATATCCTCTTCTGTAGGGGATGCCTTCATAGACATAACAAACATTCATCAAGGTATTAACATGGTCATACAGATGATAATCACAGAAAAGTCTACCACATTTTGCTTTTTAAAGCAGGAAAAAGTTATCTATTAGGAACATTCCTGCTGTTTTGCATTCTACAAATCATATATGCTACCATTTTCCAAGCATAATACCTACATTCCAGGCATACCCGGCAGTATTTCATTTCTATGGTTTTGTTTATGTTAAAGGTAAGCTCTTGACCCCTGGTACTGTAGGAGTGAGCAGGAACTGCTTTGAAAGTTAACTACAAGTCTGCTACAACTCTCTTTTTTAAATTAATCTTACCCTCTTTTACAGTGTTTCATTTAACAACTTACCATTTAAACATTGTCACATGTTGCTTTTACATTTTGTCTTCATGTATTTGGTGTTTTATGTGAAGCACTTTGAATAAACTTTGCGTGCCTTGATGCATCCAAGTGCAGTTTCCCACCTGCACTTGCACAAGATTGCAAAACTTTTGGGCCACTGCCTCTCTCATGCACCAACAAGAAAGACATTTCATAACAGACACTGCTTGCAGGCACAACACCTCACATCAATAACCGTCAGGATACAAAAACGTGAAATATACAACCAGGTAATAAATAAACTCAAAGACAGCCTCCATAGAAACTGGATGAGTAAGTTATTCTACCTCTGTCTGTGTACCACTTGGGGTTTCCGATGAACTCCTTCACATCATCTACGATCCTTTCACCCACGCCCGCCTCCAGGACCACGGAGCTGAGGGGTCTGCGTCGCCGTGGAAACCCAAAGGGCCTCCACTCTCCACCCATGGCTGTGTACATCACTGTACGTCCCTCTTCCTGCTTCAGGGCCAATTCTCTTGCTGAAAAACAGGATTTGACAACGGCACTAAATGACCTCTGAATGGTAAAGAGATCCAACACAAGTCAAGGCAACATTTGTGCGTCAAACCTTTACCTTCTTGTAAGATATTAAAGAATATTTGTCTGTCTCTGCCTAAAGCAGTGAAGGTTACAGACTCCCACGGGGTTCCTGTGTTCAGATCCAACATCTGCTTCTCTCTGGTCCTCTCCACCCGGATCCACTTCCTCCCATACCTGCACACCACAACGGATGACAGAGCAGATTAATAAACGTAAGCATTATCTGTGCACAGCTTTAAAAAAAAGGGGCTCCACGAGTGTGTAAATGCAGAATTAAGCTGAACTATATTTAAAGAACTCCTCTGACCAGATGATGTGGTTCCCAGGACTTGGGTGGAAGTCAAACTGCGTGTGGACCCGTCCACTCTCATGTGCCAGGTAGGAGGTCTCCACGCTCAGGTGCTGGGTGTGCCTGGCGTGCTTGGTGATCCAGCTCAGCAGCCAGTGGTAGCTCTTATCCCGGCTGGGGACCTCCAGAGTGATCATGTAGTTCCTGCGGAAGAAGATCATCCCCACCTGGGCACCTTTCCTGGCCACTGCCAACGCTGTCCCAACCCCAACGAGTCCAAACCCGGCCCCAAAGTAAGGGTTGTCCTTCAGGCCGTCCAGAAAGTCTGACAGGGGCATGTTGCTGATATCTGCACCCCCCCCCTCCTCCACCTCCAGTGGGATCAGACTAACTATACAGTAGTTCTAACACTTCTCCTGTTTATACTGATATCCCTCATTCAAACACATACACTGTCAATCATTATCTTATATATCCCACCGACTTGTCTTCTTTGTCTTCATCTCCTGCTGCTATCTTGGAGACAATCCCCTGTTTCCAGTCTCACTACCTTTGTAAACACCACCGTTCAGACACATGCGTACATTATTATGTGCAGCAGCAGCGACCTCTGTTACACTTCCTGTGGTTCACAAATATCATTCCGACTGCCCGCAAAGAAACATTAGTTCCTCCTTCACTATTAATGTTGCCTTAACATCATTTTGCTCGCAAGCTAAGATGATAACTAACAAATATACATGTTTTGGTGGTTATTATAGTTCTATATATATATATATTTTTTTTTTACTGAACACAATACGGAGTGAAACAGGATATTAACCGGCAGGAACTCGGACTCGGAACAGTTTGCGACCAAAACGACAAGAAGCTAACGTTAGCTCCGCTGGCGGTAACGACGATGTTAGCGTATTGATATCCCTCTAGTTTATATTATCATTAAAAAAAAAAAAAGTAAGTTAAATATCAGCTACCGTCACTTAGTATGATTTAAGACAACCCTCTAACTAAAGATGGATCCTACGAGCTGGACGCTGTTAAACTAATCACTGTTGGTTTTGTGTATTTCAGACAGAATGGACCACGGAAACCCAGGCAGTAGGTTGAAATTATGTTTGTACTGTAGTGCACCACAGTGTTTATAGCTACAACCATGTATCTAAAACGTTATATATGGATGTAATTATACATATTATTACAGTATTACTACTATTTCTTAAGATCTTATTACAATGCATTTACAACTAGGGCTGCACAATTCTGCAAACACTTTAGATAAAAGGTGAAATCAAAACAGCCCTATAATGAAGCACTGTAGTGCTGCAGAGATGCAAAGGTCTACAAATCTTGTTCTCCAAATGTAAGATGTTTGTTTGGTACAGATCCCCCAAAAATCATCAACATTTTAAATGTTTTTTTAAAAAAATTAAAATTGTGATAGCAAAACATGATCACTCCCAGTGACTGTGAATCATATCAAACACATCTGTTAAAATAGTTGCAATATGCCTTTTTTGTTACTATATCGTGCAGCACTATTTACAACCCTCACAGCACTGTTGTGTTTTTACTATATTATGGAGATGAAAAGATTTTTTGTGGTGCCCCGGATACACAACATACATACAATGATAATAAAAAATATACTACCATCTATAGTTACAAAACATCACATAAACGCCAACCATCAGTTGCAACATATCAATAATAAGACATATGTTAAAGGTGTTGTGGTATCACTATTTAATGCATTCAAACACATCTTAATAATTTAACCAATCTTTGAATTTGCACAAAGACACTAGAGCATTCAACTATTCCGGACTCAATCATTAAAAATAATTTTCCTAGTTTGGTATTGACTTGAGGGACGTTAAAAACTAGTGATTAGAGCACTATATAAAGGTATCTGTTGATAGCATATCTAACAACCCAGTAACACATGTTAATAATAGCTTATACAGTATAATGTGTTATGTACATGCACATGAATGATATTAACATGAGTTACAAATGCCCCCTTTAAGTCTGTCACATTGTAACTAAGTGCTGTACTGTTTGTTTTTTTCCAGACACAATGGAGTCACAGCAATGTGAAAAATGTGGACAGAGTTTCTCAGACAATGGCTTGTTTGCCTCTCACCCCTGTTCAGATAGGATGACTACTCCTTCCAGTCAAAAACAGTTGGGGGACTACAAGTGTTCTCAGTGCAGTGAGGCTTTTTCCACACCGGCTGTCCTGAAACGGCACTTTAAAACCGTCCACAGTGGACTTGACCCCAAAGGCCCATTCCCCTGCGCTGAGCACGGCTGCCGGTTCAGCAGCACAGAGCGTCAGGAATATCAAGCCCACTTGACGTCCGCACATGGTCTCACTCTTATTCCTTGCACCCTCCAGTCCTGCAAAGCGTCGTTCCTCACACAGGGTGAGATGGAGAGACACTTGCGGGGCCACATGCCCTTCGGCTGCTTTCAATGTCAGTTTGTCACTCAAAATGAAAAAGACCTGAGTGACCACCTCTTGGAGCACAACCATCTGCCAACTTGTGCTCAAGGTAAACAGACACTGCAAGGAGTTCTGATGACAAATGCAGAAATCTTTTCTGTTTTCGCATGAAATCTGTGCTCTGTTTTCAAACAGTTTTTGTTGGCCATAACTCTATTGCTCTGTCACTGATCATAAATAGATTTCACATAAAAATGTTGTCTGTTTATAGGCAACGAGACTGCAGCCACAGCCGTATGCCCTAATGAAAGCCGCCAGCCTCCGGTGTCCGGCAGGCCAAAAAGAAAACGGATATCCAAGCCAGGTTATGCATCATCATTACCAGATGACAGGAATGAGGAACGGCCTGAGAGGCCCAAAGTTAAAAGAGTGAGGAAGGCAGTGGAAAGAGACAAACCTTCAGCAGTGGACGCTGCACCACTGCCATCCAAAGGTATGCACAACATCTGCTTGGTGGATCTTACAGAGTAGTTGTCTGACTGTCTATAAGAACATTTTACTCAGAAGAAGCAGTGCAAGACATAACAAAAAAATAATAATCAATGTATAATAAGTAATGCAATAGTAAACATTAATTAAACCTTAATGTCTTCACTCTGTGGGACAAGGTCCAATGAATTGGCAAGCATAAGATAAGTTCAGATGTTACAGTCATTCAATCATAACAAAGATCTGTGAATTATGTAAATAAGTAAGGGATCATTTGTGCAGTGCATGGACTAGAGGGTTATGTTGTATTGGACTACGACCAAAATGATGTACCAGATATTTATCAAATATTTCTAATGTGTCAGTGGAAAATATGCTTACTTTATCACCAACTTTGTCACTTTGTTCAAAATTAATTTCAAATGTTCTTGGCCATCAGAGTACCTTGCAGAGGGATCAGAGCACATCTATCGCACCCACACCTGCCCCAAGTGTCGCCGCTGCTTCAAGATGCGCTCCCACCTGCAAGAGCACCTCCATTTACATTTCCCTGAGCCCAGTCTCCAGTGTCCCACATGCAAGCGTTACTTCACCAGCAAGAGCAAGCTACGCACACATAGACTCCGTGAGGCAGGTGAAAAGGTTCACCGTTGCCACTTGTGTCAGTATTCTGCCGTGGAGCGGAACGCAATCCGCCGTCACATTGTCAGCGTGCATGCCGAAGACGCAGAAGATGGCGTAAACAGCTATCCATGCCCCACTTGTGGTCAAAGCTTTTGCCAGAGCAGGTTGCTTAAGGCTCACATGAAGACGCACAACGTCCTGTCAGACAACAAGCCATTGGCCTGTTTCCAAGAGGGTTGTTCTTTCCAGAGTTCTTTGCGCAAAGAACTTCTCAGACACACTGCTGAAGTGCACGGGGTCAGGGCTTTAGAGTGTCGTCATCACGCCTGTGGTGCCGTCTTTCAAAGTGAGACGGACATGGAGGCTCATTATCGGACGCACCTTGCCTACCACTGCTCAAAGTGTGACTTCTCTTGCTCCAATAAGACAGTCTTCCTTCAGCACCAGCGCCATGGTCACCCAGGAAGTGACAAGCTTTGCTGTGACTTTTGCTCCTTTGTCACATTTAACCCCGTAGAGTTTGAGCAGCACATTGGACATTTGCACGCCAACGAGAAGATCCATCACTGCTCTCAGTGCAGCTACATGACCTCACATAAACGTGGCTTGAAGCGACACATGTTGATGCACAGTGGTGAGAATAAATATTTAATCTAATTTTCACCTTACAGTATCTTTAGTTTTTACATATGTTGTTAGGGTAGCTCTTGTAAGAGCTACTGCTTTTGGTGCGACATCTCCTGATTTAGTCTTTTTCTCTCTGTAACAGGTGAGAAGCCCCACAAGTGTAGCCTGTGTGACTTCAGGTGTCGAGATGAATCCTACCTCTCTAAACATATGCTCACTCACTCAGACGACAAGAACTTTATGTGCGCTGAATGTGGATACGTCACAAAATGGAAACACTATCTGAATGTCCATATGAGGAAACATGCTGGAGACCTCAGGTAGATACATCAGTAGCTTCCTGTACAACCTTTGGTTATGTGTTTATCTTGGTATTGTTACTGCACTGCTGGGTAGACAGAGTTATTTAAAAAAATATGTGTTTGCTGCTGTAATTAAGAGCAAAGTGTACAAACTATGACTGCTTTACGTCACGACTCCCTTGTTACTTGTTTCCAGCTGGGATCCCTCAAAAATACTTTAACTGTGCATTCACGCTAGTCTGCATATCTTGCGTTCCTTTGGGGCATTGGAAGTACATAGCCTTAAAAATCTTATGCTACATATTGAGTGAAATGCATGAGTGAGTTAGATAGTTAGTTAAGCACTATATCAGAATGTGAAGTAATGCCGAAGATAACCCAGAACAAAGAACCAAAACAGTGATGGAAAGTTTTGAAGAGAAGCAAATCTACTTATTTGATAAGGCCGCTGCCCCTTTTTCTGCCATGACCTCAATGATAGCAATAGAGAAGCCTCCTCAAGTGCTACCATGCTTAGTTATCGTCATGCTGTACAAAATTTTAAGTTGCAGAGGAAAATACTCCAGACGAAAGATAATCATAGCCAGATTGTAATTTTTGGGAAATGAAATTGGTTTTAGCATTCGCAGAAGTAAGTTAATCTACTCCAGTGGTTCCAAAAAAAGGTTTTAACCATAAAACAAATCTACTCTTTACTTCTAGGTTTATAAGTAGTTATGTCCTTTGATCGCTGAAAACAGCGGAATTTATTTAGATTGTATGAAAGGAAAATTTGCATTAAAGTGTGCAGAAGTTATCTCTCTGCTCTGTATAGTATGATGTGGAGAAGGGTGTGCTGTATTCTATACACTATTGTTATTGTGAATTAACTTCCTGTCTCCTCTCCTAGGTATCACTGTGATCAGTGCCCCTACCGCTGTCACCGCATGGACCAGCTCAATAGCCACAAATTACGACATCAGGCCAAATCACTCATGTGTGAGATCTGTGCTTATGCCTGCAAGCGCAAATATGAGCTTCGCAATCACATGTTGGCCAAACATTCTGAAGAGGACAAACAGCCATCGGTTTATAAGTGCAAATACTGCACATACACTACTTGCTACCGACAAGCCCTTCAAAACCATGAGAACTGCAAACATACCAAGCTGAAAGAGTTTCGGTGTGCCCTCTGCTTTTATTCCTCCTTCAGTAGCATCAGCCTCTTCCTGCACAAGAGGAAAGCTCATGGGTACGTACCAGGGGACAAAGCATGGCTAGAGAACTATGCTGCAAAGGAAAAGGAGAGGAACTCAACTGAGTTCTTGCAGAGCTTCTACAACAAGCCCTCAACAGCTCATGAGCAGTCTGAACAATCAACTTCTGAAGGGCCTCCACCATCTCAAAGAGAACAATCTGATCTTTCTGGTTCAGCAGATCACAGTGCCAGCAAAGAAACTGTAACTGATTCACAAACTGTTGATTCTGTGGATGTTTTTGATGTTGTTTCTCAAGAAGTTGTCAATGAAGGTATTTCAGATAGTCCTCCATCTGCGAACAATCCTGAGGAGTACTGTACTCTTGTTTTAACGACACTAGCAACCACTGACTATCAGACCCCTTCTTTACAAAATAAGGAAGAACATTGTGCAAATCAAACTTCAAGCTCACCCAATTTAACCTGTAATGCACCGGACATATCACAAGAGAAGGCAGACTTCTCCACATCTTCATCAGAGGAAGACAATGTAGCTATGGCAGATGCAGAATGTGAACAAAGTGACTTAGAGGACAACTGTGAGCCTCCGAATAATACAACTCAACCTGGGGAGTGTCTGCAGTCTCAAGCACCTGAGGGGGAGGATGATGATGGGACAATCAGTTCCGCTTTTCCATCTGAGCAAAATCATCCATTAGAATCTGAACTCCGTCTGAAGGCAATGAAGAAGCACGACAAGGACCAAGCAGAAGCCATGGTTTTGGAGGGACGGGTGCAGATGCTTGTGGTGCCAACTAAAGACGTTTTTCGCTGTGACAAGTGTCCTTATGTAACCAGTAAGGAGACCACTTTGAAGTACCACTGCCAGGCTTTGTGCCATGGTAGGATAAAGGGACACAAGTGCCAGGCCTGTGGTGCACAGTTCAAACAGAAACGAGGCCTTGATAGCCACCTTGCAAAGAAGTGCCCAGCACTTCCGCGAAAAGCAAGAACATTTGGAATTTCAAGTACATGTTTGGCTACAGAGGACAACCCTATTGTAAGTCAGGAAGGATCAAAACAGCTGGATAAGGGAACAAATCCCAATCAGACAGTGCCCCTATCTTCACAACATAGGATTTGCACAGATTCAAATGATCAGGAATTTCATAATCAAGAAGTATATACATCTCATTTAACCAAATCTAAAAACAAAAATCAGACCAAAAAAGGAAAAAAGCAGTTATCTTTCAGTACTAAACAAATGATTGTTCCACTGCAGTCCCTTTACACAAAAAAAGATGGGAAATTCAAATGCAAGCAGTGCAATTTTTCATCAGTCAAGCTTGCAACAGTTGAACGCCATCTCTCAACCTGCAGAAAAAGGAAACGCGAGGACCAGATAATTTCAGAAGTAGATGATGAGTGCGGTAACGAGTCTGTCAAAGAAAAAGAGGACGTGGTGGAAGAGCACAATGAAAGAACTGGGAAAGTTTCTGTGAAACATCAGATCTTCTCTTGTCCAAGCTGTGCATTTAAATGCAACCAGAAAAGGGCTTTAGACAGTCATGAAAAGAGAGGTTGTTTGAAGCCAGATGAAATCCAGTGCAGCACGTGCTCATTCGTAGCCAAATCTAAAATTTCTTTGACTCGTCACATCTTGTACGTCCATAACAAAAAAAAGTTTGGTGTTGCTAAACCTAAACATTTGCATTGCCAGCACTGTACTTTCACCTGTAAACAAGAACGATGCATGGCCCAACATGTTGCGCTCAAGCACAACGGTGCGCAACCTCACCATTGTCAATATTGTCCTTTTAGCACTACAAGGCGCTATCGCTTGGAAGAGCATGAGTCTCTTCACACAGGACTCGGCCGTCACAGCTGTGATATGTGCGACAAAACCTTTGGTGCTGTGACCAAATTGCGTCAGCATAAGATGCGCATCCACGACAAACAACCTACACACTTCTGCTCGCTCTGTGACTTCAGTGGCTACACGCTTGACGATGTAAGACGGCACAATCTCAGATGCCACACGGGGGAGTTGCACCATGCTTGCACTCATTGTGAGGCTCAGTTCAGTTCAGAAGTTGCACTAAGAAACCACTGTAAACGTGTGCACCAGCTCCAGGTGTGTTTCTCATGTAAGCAGTGTGACTTCACATGTAGCAGCGAGGTCACACTGAAGACCCACCAAGAGAGCAAGCACCCACAGGTAAAGTGCACCACCTGCCAGGAGTCTTTCAGGACAAAGGAAAGCCTTGTGATTCATCAGAGAACCCACATGGCACATCAGTGTCACCTGTGCCCCTTTGCTACCAGAACAAGGCAGCTGTTAGCTCAGCACCTTCTGAATGAACATGAGGAGGGATCTCCAGAGGACAAGCCTCTCAAATGCAACTCCTGTCAGTTTGCTTGTCGGCATCAGCTGGTGTTAGAGCAGCACCTCCGTTCACACGGAGGCAAGCGTCTGTACAAATGCACAGACTGCGAGTATTCAACCCGGAACAAGCAGAAGATCACGTGGCACATCCGCATACACACTGGGGAGAAGCCTTACAGCTGTGAGCAGTGCAGTTACACCTGCGCTGATCCGTCCAGGTTGAAGGTAAGGATGAGTTTATTGTTTGTGCGATTAAAGTTCATTAGTAGTGCTGTAGTGTTTCATATGAAATATGATATAGAATAAGCAATTTGTTTTTCTTTACAGGAATCAGTAATCTTGGTCACAATTCTTTAATAACCAAAGGAAATGTATCAACAAAAACATGGTTTTATGGTGATGTTATGTGCCTGAGACTCCAGGAAGTTACAGTCCTCAGCCAAGACACAAACACATAGACCCCATAAACCAATATGTCATTTTTACACTTGAGTTTTTGTACATATTAAATAAATGGAATATAACTTGTTAATTAGTGAGCTTTGTATGTGCTGGTAGGTGCATTTTGTTACCTGTGGACAAGGCTTGGCTACTGTAGATGTTTCCCCCTGTTCACAGTGTTTCTAAGCTAACCAGCTTTGCGCAGTAGTGGACAGATATTAGAGTGCTTCTCATCTAACTTCTGGCAAGCTTGTTTCCCATATTGTCAAATGATTTCTTCAAATGTCAGCAAGGAAAGCTTTTAGCTTGTTCAGACACAACCCAAAAACTTCTCTTAGTCCAGTGTTTCCTTGCCACTGTCACCAAGTGTTTGCTCATGTTTGGAACTGTTGGGTCTCTGTAAATAATTGTATAAGTAGTACGGTCTAGACCTGCTTTATTACTTTTGTTATGATTTGGCGCTATGTAAATGTAAACTGAATTGAATTGAACCTCAATACAACTGCTTGTCAGTAGGAAAGTGAAGAGTTACATCATGTTGCAAGAGAAAAAATGTCATATGCAGAGTTATAGACTCATTATCTTATAATAATAAACAAAAGTAATTTATATAATCAATTTACTATGACTGTTTCCAAAAATCAAGGAAAATGAAAATGGTAAATGTTTATTTTTCTGTGCTTTGTAATCCATTTTCAGCTTCACATGAGGGTTCACCAAGATGAAAAGAAGTACCTTTGTCCACAGTGTGGCTACAAATGCAAGTGGGCGACTCAGCTGAAGTACCACATGACCAAGCACACAGGTAAAAAGGCAACAATGTTGATTATTATACTTTGTACTTTTTAAGATTAGATAACTATGATTTTGTGGTATGTTATAAATCTCACGCATGATGTTTTTGTACATCATTATTAATGCTCAGGCAAACTGTCCAAGATAAGTAACACATAATACATGTCTTGGTCCTCTGCAGGGGACAAGCCGTATGCCTGTGATGAGTGTGACTACCGCACTAACAGAGCGGATGCTCTCCGTGCCCACCGGGACACGCAGCACTGTGACGTGCGCCCTTATGTCTGTGAGAAATGCGGCAAAGCCTTCAAGACTAGTTTTATACTGAAGACCCACCAGCGTCAACACAGTGACGATCGGCCATACACGTGCGGCCTATGCCACAAGGCCTTCCGGTGGCCGGCGGGTCTCAGACATCACTACCTCTCACACACCAACCAGCAACCTTTCTCCTGTCACTACTGCTCCTACAGAGCCAAACAGAAGTTCCAGGTGGTCAAGCATTTGCAGAGGCATCATCCAGAGAAGTCCGTAGAGCAGGGGGTGGTGAGGGACTCTGAGGCTGTTAGCCTGACCCTGAAGGAGGCCTTGCAAGGGACACTTGATGAGAAAGCAAGAGAAGTGGAAGAGGAGGAAGGGGTGGCTGATGAAGTACAGGAAGTAGTTGAAGAGGTGGTGCAACAAGGGGAAGACGGCGAGACAATGTGTTGAAGAGAGGGCACAATAGATGCAGTGGTCAGTTCAAGTGTAGATGGCTATCATTGCCAAAACGGGGTTAATTTATCTGTCAATATTTATATTGGACCACTTCATTTTATTGTACTGCTGAGGCTAATAAAACATGTTCAAAGGAAGGGATGTTTTGTGTTCTGTGCATGTACTATGGCGCATGCAGTGAATAAATGAACTGGAACGATGAGTCCAAAATGTTTGTTAATGACAAACTTTACTGCATAGTGTTGAACCATTCAGAAAATGTATTGCATGTATTTACAGGCCTATACTGTATATACATACATTTACATTCTACACAACATAAACCTGTGGAATCTGTCCATAAGTACAGAGAAATAACTCAAGCAGGCACTTAACTGGAGAACAATATGATGCAAAGCTATGGGTACTTTGTTTATGCTGTTGGTAGTATTGGTTATTTATTTTATTACTTTTTGTACTGTGGACTATACACTTTAAGTTACTTCCAGATATACAGTACATTTAAAGGAAAATGGTATATTAAGACATTCTAGACATGCAGCAATCATTCATTTATAGATGTTGAATATTAAAAAGCTTGCGGTCAATATTTCCATCAAAAGTTGAATTGAGAATTGCACACGTTTGTCATGAGAACAGAAATAAATACACATAGACATACTTTATACTTTTGAGTTACATGGACAGTAGCTAGCTGTTTGTTGTCACTGCTAATATAATCCTCTATTACAGAAATCCTTGTTTAAGTGAATAATGCTGAGTCTGATTTCTGACATGTTACTTGCTGATCACTAATTAGGATAGTGGGGAATGTTCAGTATGATACATTTTCCACTACCCTTCTTTAGCCTAGGCCCAATATCAGATAAAAGTATTGGTGTTCTCATCCTTCGTCAGACAAATGAAGACGCAGGACCAGCCCTGGCTTGATATCCTCAGGTTTGACTTCTTCATGTGAGCTCAGAGATGCTGATGTTGACAAAGAGGGAGGAGGGAGGGATAGCTGTCCCATCTCTAGAGAGCAAATGTATGTGCCGATATCCTGGAAAAGGGAAAGACGTTGAGAGGAATTTGGATTAGAAAAAGCTTTGAGACCGAGTAGTAGTGAGTGAATCCAGAGTTATCCTGCACCTGCTGTTTGACACAACATATGATTGTATCCATGTATATAGAAACACTGCAGTGAGCTGTAACCCTGGTGGTCTCAGAGCCACGCTTTGGCTCACTTTACTCTTTGCTCACCTGCTTGGAGGCATGTAAACGGAAGAGTGAACTGTCCCATGAAGTCGTTCCTGGACGCCTTATCGTAGTCCTCCACCACAAAGCGAACCAGTGCCAGCTCAGGGGTGTGGATGACAAAATTTAAAGTTTCATTCCACACTGGATTGAAACCTGCAGGTAGAGGGCAGTAGAGGAGAGAGTATGAGCAACTGGGCTGTGACTTTTCTTTAAACAAATGTCTTTTTCGATTTATCTTATTGTATTTTTTATTTCACATCCTGGCCTTCATATCATCAAAACCAAATTAAATCAACATATTAGCTATATTTAAAGAAACCAAACACTCTCTCACCATTGTTGTTAATGTGACTGGTCTCTTCCCTGGCCTGGTCCTGTGGCACTCCATAGATCTCCACTCTGACCAGGGGGTCTACAATAGAGCCCTCTTTTTGATTGACCTTTGGTAGCTGCTGCCCGCTCATCACCTGAGAAACACACAACATATGTGCATTTTAGAAACCACAGCATACAGAAGAACACATCACAGTTTGCCTCTGGTTTTCTGACATTACATTACATCCTAACAACCTGCCTTACTTTTGCACAGTTACACACACTGACAGTAGTAGTGACCCATTACAAGCACAAACTTTCACGTAGTTTTGAACCTGTATGGATAAGCGGAGTGGTTTGTAGCCTTGCTTCCCGTCTGGTTTCTCTGGACTGAACTGAGTGCTGCCGTCTCTCATGAAGTCAGGCTTGAGGACGTAGCCGCAGCAGCCATTCTGCCTGAACAGCCCATCATTCAGATCCATTTCCAGACCAGCTGTCTGGAAGTTCAAAGCCACTTTGGGAAAGAGGAAGAAAGGAAATAGTTCAATTAACTGTGATCATTTTCTTTTTACGGTGGCTGGTTGTATCATGTGATTTCCCAGACTCAGAGTAATCTATCTAGCTGTCAAAGTTCATGTGAGAGGTCCAGCAGAACAGGAAGCATCTGTCCTGTCGAACTCTTCCAGCTGGCGGGGTGTTGTTCTGTATTTGACCCTGACCTCTAACATCCTCAGTGAGGGCATGCACAAAGAGAATTACCCCTCAATATACTGCCACAAATGATACAGTATATTTAAGAGCATCAATGTTGTGTTCTCACATAATTTGTATTATTTCCATCTTCAGATTTCTAGCAATATGAGCTGCATACAATATAACTGCAATGTTCCTGGATCGGTTTTGGCTGGGGGCCTTTGTCGCATGTCATCATACCCATCACACACTCCCCATGTTTCCTATGTCTACTGTTAAATAAAGGCAAAATTCCCAAAAGATTGTCTTTATTTTGCTGGAATAGTATTATAAATTACATAGCATACATACATAACCCAATCACAATAATAAACTGAATAATAATCAACATGAATATGCAGGAAGACAATTACCCCACATTGTATTTATTGTGGGCAGTAAAGGACTGGATAGTGGATATTTTGGGGTACTGGCCCAAAAAAGGTTGCGAACCACTGTTACCACTGCCTCACTTTCAGCTTTTGCTGTTGCTTTGTGGTTTTTGCGGTTTGTTCAACACCTCTGGGCCCCCATACTTTTGACACCAAAAATCGAATTAAACCAAATAAAAAATGCTGCAATAAATGCTTTATTTGTAGTTTCTTAATGTTAAATGTTTTAAATATCTTTCACTGGGAAGGTACAATGTTTTCATTCAGCATTTGTTGTATGTTTTAGTTATAGGTAACAAGTGCAACTGGGAAATTAAATTGAGGATCAAGGTGTCTTCATGTCACATAGGGCATCAATTTCAAAAAGGCATAATTCAATCTTTCTGAAAGTTTTTAAACAAATGTGGCTGAAATATTAATATGCCTCCACATGATTCCAGCCCCATTCAATCCAACACAAATCAAGCTGAAGTGTTGGAGTGCCTGTGGACATCAGAAAGCTCTGGTATTAAAGGTTGGAAAGCAGACTTCAGCGATTTTAGAGGAAATGTTTTACAGTTTAACCAGCAGAGGGAGACCTATCTCACCTATCTGGCAGCCCACATTCCACATCTCCTGCGGGTTGTAGTTGGAGGAGTCCGTCCTGAGGCCACTGGGGTAGATCCTGCTCATCTGCTTTGTGTTGTACTGCACAAAATCTGTGCCTGAAAAGAGACAATGCATTTCTATAGCATGAACACAGAGAAATACAACTGTTTCTCTATCTGTGACTCAGATAGTTCTAAATATATTATTATTCATACTATAAAAAGTAAAAAGAAAAATTGGCATCTGAGGAATATGACATTCACATATTATTAAATATTTCTTCCTTCTTTTACAAAATACACCTCCTGTTCCCTCATGTTCATGGTATACCTGCTTCTTTAGCGAGCTTCTTGGCCTTGGATTCAGAGAATGAGGACATCTCATAGCATTTGCCGTGTAAACGAGCATGCTCGAAGCCATGGAAGTGCACACTCTTGCAGTAAACCACCAAGTCTGACAGCTCCCTGGATAGTTTGGATTTCTGCAAATAGGGAGAATAAATTAGTCAACTGTCCTATTCCCATCCCTCCAAACATTAATTACACCTAGGGTGAGTAGTGGCCATGTAGTTTGAAAGTAACCCTGTAAATTAGATGGTAATTGGACTGCACTTATAAAGCACCTTTCTTTCATCAGAAACAGAAACTAATCTATCCACACACATTCATACAATTTGGGGTTCAGTATCTTTTGTCCTAAAGTTAAACAAAACAGCTAATAACTAGACCGAAATAGGCAAAGTCATGAATGCTGATCTAATTCATTTAATATTCTTATGAAAATAATATATATCTAGTGCTAAATATCTACTTCATTTTGTAATGATTGCTTAAAAGACAACACTATATCAGAGGAATGAAACAAGATGATAGCTGCTTGATTACAACAGCTCGACATTTCCCTGCAAATATATTAGAATATATTAAAAACTACTTTCTGTAATTATCAATTGCATGTGTGTGGCTTTTGATTTACTGGGTCAGTCCATTGATACATTTTAACAGAACAATTTCCAACTTTTTTCACACAGTCTGGTTGCAATTTTGTTTAGTTGTGGACATGATTGTCTTTCAGTTTCCACATTTTTTCATGTTGTTTGGTTGCAATTTCATCTTTTAATTACTGTGTAATTAATATTTAATTAGTGGCCTGTAATTTACAGTGTATAACATTACTCAATTAAAGCAGCAAAGTAATCTGGGTAAGATGGTTAGAATTCATTCTCTCTGCCTCATCAATTCTAATTAAATTATTAAAACCACAAATGCTTCCAGTTAATCTATCTCTGCCTAGCAGGGAAAATGCTGTAGCTGCAGATCACTAAAATTACCAACCTTTAACCCTCACTGCTTTGAAATTAATATATTCTTGGTTGCCTTGCTCAGTTACATATGAAATACTTAGATATCTTCAATTAGATTTGTTCACAGGGGACTGTTTTTCCCACAGATAAGGAGAGGCACACTGGATGATGTTTTCTTTCTTACTTCACTATCTTTCTTCTTTTAAATATCCCTGTTTCCTGTTTCTTTTTACTATCTCCCTTCTTCTTTTACTCCTGTCTCGCCTCACTGTCTCTAATGTCTCAACCCAGTTTCCTGTCTCTCTTTGCTATCAGCCTCCATTCGCTCTTGTCTTGATTCATTATCGCTTTTGATGCTCTCTGTCTTCCGTCTTTCTTCACTCTCACTATGGAAAACATACTTAATAAGCAATAAAGTCTCTCTTGTATTAAAAAAAGATTAGATTACAAATCATAAAGTATCAAATTCATGTTCTGTACCTTCGCATTGTGCCCCAGACTCTCAGCGGGTGGGTCGTCTGAGCACTCACCGTTGGCCATCTCTTCCTCATCACTAACTTCATCTGTC